CATTACATCTATTCTGTTATAGCATATTTGTTGGCGGATTTAATGGTGCATACAATATTCTGTTAGCATGATCCCATCATCATCCACACCGTCTCACCCCACCCCTCCCACCATACCCTCTCTCTCACACACCAACACGCACGCACACACACAGTGCACACGCTTACACACACAGATAGGTCGCTACCATCCAAAGATTAATTATATTATATTATTTTTATATTTATATTTTTTTCTTTCTTATATAGTTGTATTTAAAGAATATGAAAATATAGAAAGATCATTTTCTGAAATCATATCCCATTCTCTATTTAAATGTAGATTTTCTCGAGCCTATGTTCGATTTCTAGTGCTTTGTATTCATATATTTGTATTCAAAATTGTATTCAAAATTGTAATCAAATTATGAGCATAAACCAATAAGGGAGTTACAAAATTGTAATCAAATTTTAAGTCACATTCACTCATGAAAATGACCGAGTGTATTAGCATAAAGAAAATGGTTGTAACGGCTCTTCCATAGCAATTACTTGATCAAAATCAATTTTGAGAATTATTTTCTTAATTCATATTTTTTTTTCGTAAATTAAGTTATGATTTATTTTTGTTTTTTTTATATTGTTATCTTTTTAAAGTATTCTTCCCTGTACAAATGCACATGTTGATTACTAGTATCTCCTCAATTGCGTGTGATACGCAAGTCAAAAAGGTAAATTAAATTTGTACAAAATAAAGTGGGTCAAACATTCCCCATGACTGAAAAAAATTGTACAAAATAAATGTAATTGCTATACGATATGATCTGGTCGAATCAAAATGATATATCATCGTGATCCTTGAAAATTTCCTTTGCAACTATAGATCAACTAAATCTGCAATATTTAAAATCACAATTAAATGATACATAATTTATAACAAAAAAACTGTAAGTAAAAAATGTTTTTTTAAACAATCATTCGAAGTTGTAGAACAAAAAAATCAATAATATTTACTTAAAATTAAATCCTAAAATATTTATAGCAAAAGACCTTAATTATTGAGTTTTTTTGTATGTAATGATTTTTTTTGTCAATTCTGCAATTATTTACTAAAGATTTAAAAGTTTATATTATATCAAACCTTTAAAAAACGTGTGAATTATTAACATGTATTAAAAAAATAAAAAAAAATGTATTGATTAATATAAAAAACAAATTGATTTGACAATTATGTACACGTGTGATTCGAAATTTCAATCAAATTTACTTGAATCAATCAAATTAACTGTTATTTTAATGTAGAAAAAAATCTAATATTGGTATTCATTGATATTTAAATATAAATAAAATCAGATATTGTCAACCATGAATTGTCAATCAAAAACTGCCAAATGGCACAAATTGTGGCATGATTACAATTTTGATATGAAATAAAACATTTAGTAGACGTGTGATTTACTTACATATATAATATATATGATATAAAATAATAAAAAACTGATGGATTAGTATAAATAAAAAATTAATTTGGCAATCTGAATATATGTTAAATATAGATATTGATTGATTATATGTTAACTATAGATATTGATTGATAAAATCAGAGAAATTCTACCCATGGATTTTCAATCAAAAAATGCCAAATGAACAATTCATTAATTGTGTCAAGATTATAATTGTGATATCAAATGTAATATTTATTTCAATTATACTCATTTTATTGTCTATTATAACATATTTTCATATCATTTTTTTATGGAATGAACTTAAAGTTGATTGGTACATTCAGAGCTGTAACCGCTATATTTGGTTGCATTGTTGGAAGAAAAATATGATTAGCACAATTTTTTTTTTCTAAAAATTAGAAACACCAATAATTTTTTTTTATTTATGTTAATTTTTTTAATATATGCCACAAACATATAAATTATTTTATTCATGTTACTAATGTAAATGTTGCACGGCTAAAATAAAATTTAAGTCTCAATTAATTTTAAATGATAAAAATAACTTAAGAAAAAGTAATAATTTTTATATGATAAAAGTACATGTTTAATTAATAAATATAAACAAAAATATATTTTATTTACACAGATCAAATCTATATCTATATATATATAAAGAGGTTATTGGAAAAATACATTAATAGAAAGTTTGACCAAATAAATATAATGTTTGACTTACTATTAATGAAAAGTTCAAAAAAATACATGTGAATCTTTAGTAACAAAATCTGAATCCTATTTATTTGGTAACTAATTTGGAGATTCTTATGGAAAAATTTGAATCCCATTTTTTTGTATCATATTTTATTTTTTTACCAAAATTTAAATCATATATTTTTTGGTAACAAATTTGGAGATTCTTATGCAAAAAATGTGTCAATTATTTATGAAAACAATTCTAAATACAAATTAACTTAAAAACCGTACAAATTGGATTCAAATTTTGGAAACAAATAGTTGTATAATTCTTAACTAATTCTTTTAATCTTATTGAATAATTTTTTCTTTAAAAAAAAAGTGTGTAAATTGGATAAAACCACGTTCAATTTTTATTTTAGAATAAAACTGATATTTAGACGGGATGTACATTCAAAATTGTGTCCACATTTTTTGGTAACAAAAGCGGTTCATCTTTGATATTTAAAAATTAAAAAAATCTTAAAATATCCTTAAATATTTAACTTATTTGAGATCAAGATTTGTTAGGTCTTTTTAAGATTAGTTATGATTTAATAGAAAAAAACATTATACAAAATTTCACTCTAAATCTCACATTCACACTTAAGATTTCATAGTATTCCTCTAAAATTTGACCATCTTAAAAGTCTCAAATCTTAAAAAATCTCAAAGTGGCACTCAAAATCCTAAACGAATAGATATTATTTACCTATATCGTCAATTTACAATTATTATTTAATATTATTTACTCGTGCATCGCACGGACCACATACTAATACTAGTTTAATATTGTTTAATGTGCATGATACGGGCTACGCATTAATATCCGTATCAAACGGTTCAAATTTTATTACGGGCGGCACTTTAGGTTCGATTTTGTTGATTTTCTATTTTTTTAATCCAAGACTAGTGTATATCCCGTGCGATGCACGTAGGAGCTCATATTTTAAATTTTTTTAGGTTTTATTTTAAATATAATTACTTATATTTTTCACATCTCGTCTATTATGAAAATAAAATAGATACAAACAATGAAAAATATATATTATTAAACACTTCTCTTTATACAATATTTTTTTAAGTAATATTATTCAAACGGTTTTGATTTTATATTTTTTAAACGTCAATTATCTCCACAAGAATAATCATACCATTTTAATTTCAAAAAAATTGGCAAGTTTGTTAGAGAGATAAATTCAATTAGATAAATTATTAATTAGTTAAGATATTATATTAATTGTATCATAAAAAATTAGTTAGATAATGTAGATAAAAAAATATAATATTAATTAATTTGTTAGGAATGTGATTATATGAAAATCAAGATAAAATGAAATTTACCCAAAAAATTTTGTTTAGGATCTTTTTCTTTATGTTTGAATTTAAAAATTTAATACCGAATTTCGATTATATCACAGGAAAAAATAAATAATAAATATTTATTAATATAATAAAACATGTAATTTTGAATTTCATATAAAGTAAAGGTATAATAATTCAAATTTATTTTTAAAATAAAAGTTATGATAAACATTTATTTGTTATCTATAAAATTTTTATTTTTTATTATTCTAATGATTTATACATTAAAGTGAACTTAGGTACGGTATGATTTAATTCATTTGAGGTTGTATCATTTGAGGTTGTATCTACCGCATTCCGTCCGCACAAATATGTTATAGAGGATTAACTCAAAAACTTAATTTGACAAAATAAATTACAAATTCATTTCCTGTTTTAACGGATAGATTATCTCCAAATAAAAAAAAAAAAAAAGGAAATCAAATATATTGCTAAAATAAAAATCTGTTTTCCAAATGAAAAGGATCTTGAATTTATCGGATATGGAAGGAATCTCATCCAAAACATATTGAACTCATCCAAATTACAGAATTTCGGAATGAAAAAAAATTCAAACTTCTGAAAAAATTTCAAACAAAATATTAGGGGGAAAAAATGATTTGAGCGGTAAAATGAAATAATTTTTCAAACATTTTTTCTTCTCTCTATTATATAGTAATAGATTCTATTTTTTAAACCCTAGGAATCAATAATGCCTTTTGACTCTTTTACCCTTGGTTATTTTAATTGGGTCCGTCCAGGGCTTTTCTTGAATTTAAGCCCGCTCTCTGCAGAAGAGTGAAAAATCAGAAGTTTTTGCTGTTAGTCGGGGCACCAAGCTGACCGAACGGGTATCCAAACCCGGAGGAAGCTCAGCTGATATCCGGCACCAATGGAATATAGGAAAAAAATTGGAAAATAAAAGACCTCTATCTTTCAGTAAACTCCACTCACCGCAGCTCTCTACGTAACCTCGTTTTTTCTCCATCCCATTCACCGGTCTTTTGCCGTCGATTATTGTGAGAAGCAATTTGCCCGGCGGTTAATGCTCTTTATCGGATTAAATCTGAAACTTGTCGCTGGAAAAAGAAATAGTTTGTCCCGAGTTGAGAAACGTAACGGAGGGAAGTCGAAGCCCGAAATTCTCTTTCGAGGTGCGTTTTTTTTTTTTTTGGCGAAGAACTTCACTTCAGGTGTTCTAATTTATTTTATTATCGATTAATTTTGCGGCCATGTAATGTATTTTGTTGTTATGACGTTGGATTCGAAGCATAGCCTTTATTTACTTTGTTTTGTTTTGTTTTGTTTTGCCTTATCTTGGTTGAGTGTGTGTGCTTGCATGTGATGGTTTGTTGAATGGCGAGGAGACACTGGTAAGATGATTTGAAGGTGAGTTATTTTTCTCCGTATTTTCTTTGTTTTGCTTACCTAAACAAATTTTGTTGTTGGTGTGAGATTGATACTTTTGATCATATTTCTGGGTGCACGATTATGTGTTCCTGAAATTTGGCCAACTTACTTCATTCAAAATAATAGCTTTTCTGTTGCTCTGAGAGAAAACAGTGAAAAAGAATTACCATTTTGTGTTTGTAGAAATCATTTTAGGATGCAAAGTCAGGTTGATTTAATGTAGGAGGAACATACTCACCTGAAGTATGGAGGAGCTGATCATTGTTTGAAATTTATAAACTAAAGATATGCCATTTATATGGTTCAAACCCTGGAGTTAATTTCTTTCTATGTATACAAATAGAAACAGAGTATTCATATAGTTGTTTTAGTCCGTTTGTTATTGCAGGCTGTGGGGAGGCTATAGATGATTGTCTTAGCTGTTTATGGTATAGAGTATCACTAGTTTGATCTTCACGTTCCATTTTCATCTGAACTTGGGTTTTTATTTTATTAGTTATATATTGTTATTAATGTTTTTTATTTTTATTTGTTTTCTATTATTCAATATGCATTCATCTGGTCATGCTTTTACTTGTAAATCAGTTAATTATTCTGAGTTAAGCCAGGGCTGAAGTTTAATTTGTACTCTGGTAAATGCTAATTAGTCTTTTAGTTGTCAATTTGAATTGATTCTGGTAACTACATGCTAGTGTCTGGGAAAATTGATATTTTGTTTTTATAGTGCTGTATAAACCAGCATGATATTAACTTCAAGCGGTACTAGTTTGACCATTTTTCCTGTGCCCCAGAAGGTGCAAGTACCATGTGCTTTTGTTTGTTGCATTCTGGATTCAGTTTCTGGAAGATTAAATGGTTACATAGTTTCTTATTTATCTGTTAATATAATTTTGATTTGCAGTCTTTTAACCCCTATTATTGTCAAATATAACAGTTCCCTAATTAAAAAAGAACTAAAACAATAAAAAAATCTATGCAATTACTTCTCTTTCTAATTTCCACTGGAAAGTACTCAGGAAAGAAGAAACGAAGTTCTGGATTAAAAGCAATTTATACGTGTATGCAGTAGTCCCAGATGGCCGTTGAGGCATGTGATGCACAAAAGTTGATGGATGATATTGATGGTGATGATGTACCATTAAGTTTCAAAAGGAGTAGCTCTTCCAGAAAGCAAAGCCAATCAACCTTGGAAGCTAAGAAATCGTTACCTTCCAAACCTGATAGACAACCAGTACAGGATGTACGATCACAGAATGGTCAAGGTGCCATGGAGAAGAGTAAGATGGCTCCTTCCTCCAAGTCACCACCTGTTAAATCTCCTCTGTCTAGCCCGAAATCATATAATTCCACTGCCAAGGGATCAGAAGTTAAATCTTCTGAGGTGAAATTTAAACCTTCTACGTTGGCTATGGATGAGTCAAATTCACGCCAGATTAAAGATGAGAAGCCATCAACTGAAACCATTGAGGACTCGGAGGACTCTGATGATGATAAACCACTTAATGCTAGAGTTTCTGCTAACTTGTCGAAGGTCAACTCTAGCCATGCCAAAAAAGTTCTTCATGCTTCAAGTTCTAGTCAACAGCTTAAGATCCCCAAGCCTAAAGATTCAGATGATGAAATGCCGTTGTCTTCTAGGTTTCAAGTTAAGTCTAATGCTGGGATATCCATCCGCGGATCTCCCAATTCTTGTGAGGGAAAACCTTCAATGTCGAAATATGAACAAAATGGATCAGCCTCAATAGAAAGAAAACCTTTAGCTAATCTGAAGAAGAGACCTGGAGATGCAGGAAAAGCTGCAAATGAATCTCGTCTAAAGAAACCTAAGTTTTCTGACACATCTGCACATAAGAGTAGAGAAACACCTGTTAAAGCTGAAATGAGGGAAGAAGATGATGAGGATCATGTCCCAATATCACATCGAATGAAGAAGCTGACTTCCGCAGATAAGAAAGCATCATCTGTGAAGAAGATGACTAAACCCTTAGCTACAATATCAAAGAAGACGAATACGAAACAAAAGAAATCTACGAAGAACTCTAAGTTATTCATGGTTCCTCCAGGCTCTGGTGGAGGCCAGAAGTGGACTACCTTGGTTCACAATGGTGTGATCTTTCCACCACCATACAAGCCTCATGGGGTTAAGATGCTCTACAAAGGAAAGCCTGTTGACCTGACCCCAGAACAAGAAGAGGTTCTTCTACTTTCTTTCTTGCATTTGTTTGTCTTCGCATTCAATACATATATATTTCGTGCTGTAATTCATTATGTCAGATCACTGTGTCTCAACTTTCTTGATATAGACAGAACAATTCTTTTTCTTCTTCATTTGCAGGTGGCAACAATGTATGCGGTGACGCTTGATACTGATTACATGAATAAACCTCAGGTCAAAGAGAACTTCATGGCCGACTGGCGGAAGATACTTGGGAAGAATCATGTTATTAAGAGCTTGGAACATTGTGATTTCACTCCGATATACGAATGGCATCAGAAAGAAAAGGAGAAGAAGAAACAAATGACTAGTGAGGTGTTTTACCAACAACTCTCAAGTATTTGCTGTATTCAGTGGTTGTACCATTTTCATTGTCCAATAAGTTTTATATGCAGTGTTGTGGAGGATAGATCTGGTTCTAGTTGTTTCCTCCTTTCTTTGGCAGTTCTTCAAATATGATATGACCACCGTGAGAAACAGTTAATATGAGCAATTTTACATGTTTCCTATTGAAAATAACTTGTAAACACATTATGCTCATTATTGGTTATTGTCTTCGGTTTAAGTTGACGTTCTCTGGTGACAAAGTTTGCCACTTTATTTGTTATTAAGGAATGATTAGTCCCTTCAAGTGAGATTTTAAGATGTTGGAATTTGTGTTACCCTTTGCAAATTAACCATTAGCAGTTTTTTTGTATCACCAATTAGTGTTTGGGTTGGAGGAAACATGGTTTGTGTTCCAAGTAACTCCTCTATAGGTTACATGATGTGCAATCATAATCCAATTCAAGGAGTTATTGCTTAACTTTTTGAGGTTTCAGTTAATCATATAACTCAAGTTACTACAATTTTAGGAAATTGAAGGAAGCAGCTCATAGCTTAAATGTAGTAAGATTGTTAAGCATCAGAATGTATCTCAAGAAAATTTGGACATGTGATGTAATCCTTTTGCTTTAATTTATATGTAACACTTGGATAAAAGTAGTGAATCATGCATGTCACAGATTTGATAGCAAGTAGTATATTCTGATATTAGAATGACTTTGGTTTTTATAGTTGCACTATGTAAAGCGGGAATGGCTCTAGATGTTATCTTTAGTTTTATTTTTACTTATTTAATCATTTTATCATTGTTTTGTCGGTGAATGTCTGCTTAGAAGCTGATGAACATGTTATTTGCTAATGTTTAGTGGGTTGATCAAGGAATATTGATATTTTTTCACGGAAAAGAAACTTAACATTTGTTAAGTCTTGCATAAGGACTCTACATGAGCAACCGAAACATACATTAAATCCTCATAAGGGCATTTTTTCTATTGCTTTGTTTTCTTATTTATATAATTCTTTAACAGGAGAAGAAAGCTTTAAGAGAGGAGAAACAGAAGCAAGAGGATAAGTACACATGGGCCATTGTCGATGGCATGAAAGAGAAGGTATGATTCACCTTCATTTGTTCTCTATTTTCACTTAATTTGATATTATTTATTGGAAAAGATAAGCAAGAGAAGCTAGTTTTTTACCCCTTGTAGTTTGATGGTAAAACTTTTGAAACACATATAACCACTCATGACAGACAGTATAAGAAATATGAGAATATAGTGTATGTTACTTCGGATAATCTATCCCTAAATCTGTGCAAGTTAGAACCCATCACTTATTGTTTCTACACTGTACTTGCTATCTTTTTCAGGTATTATGTTGTGTTCTGGCAAGGACTTAATCCTGATGGTAGAGGATTTTTGGTGCAGAGTGGAACATTTTGATGATCTTTTACTTATTTTTTCACATTGTTGAGTGTGTGCTGGCTCCATGCCATTTCTTTCAGATTACATCTTTAGTCAATGAACATGGATTATTCCTAGAATATATATTGGGTAATATGGATTATTTGTACGACGATAAATTGAAGTCGGTCATTTTGTCATTAACTTTTGTGAAGTGCAGATTCTTCATATCGTATCATGTTCTCTGGGAAATTTCAAATTGCCTTTTAACTACCATTGTGATTCTATCTCTTTGTTCTTGTTTCTCCGAGGAAGCTGACTTTAATTCAATTTTCAGGTCGGAAACTTCAGGGTTGAACCACCTGGGTTGTTTCGAGGCCGTGGTGACCATCCGAAGGTGCATTAATATTTTTCTTCTAGTAGTTAAACATCAATCAATGTTTTATGGGGTCATGTATATTATGTCACAGGATGAAGTGGCGCTTTTGTTTATTAGTGACTGACAATCATCTACTGTTTGCAGATAGGGAAGCTGAAAAAACGAATTCTTCCTAGTGATATCACTATAAATATCGGAAAGGATGCACCAATTCCCGAGTGTCCTATACCTGGTGAAAGGTTCTGCTTCATAAACTAACTTTCTGTGCAGAACCAGGATATCTCATTTTTTGGTGAACAGTAAAGAGTGTTTCGAGTTTCCTTATTCCAAATAAACTGATCTTAAATGTAGTTTTGAACTTGTTTGGCAGTTGGAAAGAAATCAGGCATGACAATATGGTTACATGGTTGGCATATTGGAATGATCCCATCAATCCGAAAGAATCCAAATATGTATTCTTGGCAGCAAGCAGTAAATTGAAAGGACAGAGTGATAGAGAGAAATATGAGAAAGCTAGGCGCTTAAAGGTCGAAACCGAATTGACCAGAAATGGTATTCATCACCCTTTGATATTTATATTGAAGGACTAGATATTAACATCATTTGCTTTTTAAATGAAGGATTATATTCACGGTATCCGAGCAACTTATACCAAGAACTTCACGAGTAAAGATTCAGCTCAGAGGCAAATAGCTGTTGCAACCTATCTTATTGACAAGCTAGCGCTTAGGGCTGGAAATGAGAAGGTATAAGGGGGACCATGTGTTGGTTATCATTGCCGTAGATTATGTTTTGGATTACTCTGTTGCCAAAGCTAGACCTTATTCTTGAAGCCAATTTTTTTGTTCTGAAATATTTCAATCTCATCATAGATTGCAAGGGTATTCACTACAATTTAAAGTCTTCGCTTGTTATAGGATAATGATGAAGCTAATACGGTTGGTTGCTGCACATTAAAGGTTGAACATGTTGAACCAGTGCCTCCAAATATCTTAAAGGTCAAGTGGCTTTTCGTATATTTTATCTAAGATTCTCTATCTATACCTTTCTTAATAAGATTCACCAGTTGAGTAATTGCTTTGAAGAATCTATTTGTATGATTTCATCTCCTCTAAAAGTACTCCATCAGTGATTTCAAAAGTTCCGCCATGGCACGTGGCAGATTTCTGCCTAACTTCCTTTAGAAATTGGGAAGGATGGTGGTAATGGTGGCTTCACAGGCTGCCATGTGGCGGGATTTCAGCCTGATGTTTTCCATCATCTGCCATTGATAACACTGTACTCCATGCAACATCCCTGCATCTTTTAGGACTAATTATATGAATAGCATTTCTTTCCCTTTGCAGTTTGATTTCCTGGGTAAAGATTCTATAAGGTATGATAAGGAAGTGGAGGTCGAGACTCTCGTGTTTAAGGCAATCCAGCAGTTTCGAAGTGGTCCGTAAATGTCTGCTGTAGCACTACACATGATCTTGTTTGTTTTTGGTGTACTTTCAACATGTAGATTTTGTTTTGTCCAGGAAAGAAGGGCAGTGATGATCTATTTGACGGCCTTGATACAAGTAAACTAAATGCTCATCTAAAGGAACTAATGCCTGGTCTTACCGCCAAAGTCTTTCGTACATATAATGCATCCATTACATTGGATGACCTGGTAAGATAAACATCGAACTCCTTCCCTTCAGTTTGTGGTTATTTATGGAACCAGCAGCTCAACCAGTGAACTAAGTTATAAGCAATAAAAATTCGAAGTCCCTTTTGTTGGCATTTGCATTGTGTTGTGTATTTGGCTGTTCTAGTTTCCTGAAAGAGATTGCTAGCTACTGCATTGAAATCAACGGTAGAGTGATAGTATATGATTGTACCTAATCTCAAGAAATATTCAACTGATTAATACTCCTGCCATTGGCTTGTGGACTTTGCATCTGATTTACACATTTATGGTGGGTTTTCAGTTCTGTGTCAAGTTATCTCAGTTGATTAGCTTTTAAAATGATAAGGCGGATAGTGATAAGAATTGCTTGCTGATAGAGTGAAGGGCAGATTGCAAGAAGAAATCCAAAACTGAAATTGATAATTAATTGAGAAATGAAAGAAATGGGAAAAACTCAAAAGAGTAGCAGGCGAGCCTGCCCCAAGCGCGAACGCCGGTCAAGATTTCTCCGGCCTAAGCCAAAGACTCCTATATTCTTTTCCGTGAGCGCTTGGATATAAATAAAACCGGTTTTGATTGGATTTATTGGTTAAAGTGAGTTAATTTTGAATAAAACTGATTGAGTTGAGTATGGGTGGAATTTTGAATTTGTATTAAATAATATTTAAAAGGTCATGATTAAAGTTGATGTGATATAAAAGTAGGAGAGGGGTTATTGGAAATGATAAATGGTTAAAAATATGTGAGTAGATGAACAGTGTTAAAGTTATGTAATGCATCAAGATGATTGATTGATTGGTGTCATTTAATTATATTGATAATATTGATGAAATGAAATTTGAGTTTGATTTTGAGTTAAGTTGTGTAAAAAAATTATCCCTTTAGTCAAAATTGGTTTTAACTTGTAGCCAATCGCGCTCTACGGTACCTAAACCCTACTACTTAGACAAAACAAACTAGGGTTCCAAAGCAAAAGCCCGACCCATCAACTTATTGGAAGCCTAATTAAATAACTTAACTAAAATATGGAAACTTAAATATAGATACGTATCAACACTCTCATGGTCAAATAGCCTTGTCCCCAAGGTTGTATTGCCGAAAACCCATGCCACACTCATCAAGCTAGCCAAACTCTCTGGGGGAGATAACCTCGTCGCCATCCGCTTCAACCATCACGTTCAAGTATTTTGCACGACAATTGTATATCAGATGGTAAGGCTCACGACATTTAAAACGAAGTCCCTTTGCCCTAAGGTCCAACTATTCAGTGGATAGGTTGCGGGTGCTATGGTTAGGCAGACTCGAAGAGGTCGAAGGAGCCGAGGATGTTGCACCTGTGTAGAGAATGTTAAGGTGCTGGTGCACTCTGAACCGAAAAATAACGGTTAACCGTTTGTTGGTCTTGAATAACAGTACTTGATATTTTAACTCTTCCCACATGTGCAAGATCATCTTAAGTTATACCTGCTCTTCACTAATGCCTTTTTGTTGGTCACAGTTGAGTAAGATGACAAAAGGTGGAGATGTTGCCCAGAAAGCTGCTGTTTATCAGGATGCAAACAAAGAGGTAAAGTCCACAGTCTAACTTAATCCATTGACCTATTGTTCCGATGTCTAATATTCCTTGTCTCTTAGGTCGCAATCATTTGTAATCATCAACGTGCGGAACCAAAGAACCACGATTCCCAGATGTTAAAACTGAATGAAAAGATAGACGAAGCCAAGGTGATAACGTAATTTCTGTAACTACCAGACTTTCTGGTTGCTGATGCAAAACTACCGTGATTGTCGCTTTCTTCTCTTTTTCCTTGTTTATTTAACACCCAAATTCCCAGATTTCTTTTTACTTTTTTCCTTTTCCACCGGTTTTGTGTTTACTTGTTCATTTTTGGTAGTGTGCCCCAACTTTTTCGGCATTTGGTCTTTCAGGCTGTTTTGAAGGAACTTCAGACAGATCTGACTAGGGCTAAGAAAGGGAAGCCTCCGATGAAAAGCGCTGATGGTAAAACAAAGAGGAATTTGAATCCTGATGCGTAAGTTGTCAAATCTTTTTAATTATTTGTTTCAGTATTCATGGAATTTAACATGCAGCATTGTATGTTTTGAATTTATCATGTTAAGTAGCTGATGTGGGGGCAAGGTCTTGCAGATTAGAGAGGAAGATAGCTCAGAGCAAGGCCAAGATTGGAAAACTGAAAGTACACATGAAGGAGAAAGAGGATATGAAGAACGTGGCATTGGGTACGTCGAAGATTAACTACAATGATCCCAGGATCACTGTTGCATGGTGCAAGCGCCATGAAGTCCCTATTGAAAAGGTAAAAAAGGCAACTTTTTTCCCCCCTCCATATTATCCTAAAACAAGATTTAAGTGGCACAACTCCACTCGGCTCCTTTTCAGATGACTAACGATTTTCTCGTGCAGATTTTCACCAAGACTATTCTCGAAAAGTTTGTTTGGGCAATGGATGTTGATCCTGAGTTCAGATTCTGAAGTATCTCTGGTACTCAGTACATCCCGCAGCGTATTCTCCACTAACCATGAAAGAAAGAGAGAAAAAAAAAAAAGAATCTTATCTGGACTTGAATGGAAACAGTTTATTCTATTTATTCCTGCCAATAAATTCCTATTGAAAACTAGAAAACTCATAATTTCAATGACAATGTCTTAATTGTCATTGTTTAGTGGGTGCTGGCCTAGTTGTGCAGTTTGATATGAGGCGAAATCATACCCTGAACAAATAGAAAGAAACTCGAAACTGTCTCAATATCTTTTTACATATTCTGAACCTTTGCGCTTTGTGTACAGTTGGAGGCAAACTTAACCATGAATCACTGGCTTTGTTTCCCATGTTGGGAATAAGTTTATCAAAGTGGTCTATAGTTGGAAAACTTCATTCTCAGTTCTTGCAAATCGCCAATTCCGATGTTAATGCCTTACATCACATGGTCAAAATTTTCAGTTCTGTGGAGTGTGTTGGAGCTTGTACAGTTGTACGGCTCTGTTCCTGTGCATAAATTGTGTGCTATCTCGATATAATCCATTGCGATGTTATGTTCCTTTACGTTTCTGGAAAGGGCATTTCGGAATGATGGTAGGTTACTAGGTTTGACATGAAAATACACAAAGTTGTATTTTGGAAGTTAGAGCAGGTATTAGAAGTTTGGAGTCGATAAATACTCTTGTTTGACAAAACATAAGTCTTGATTAACTTTTGGATCCAAATCACAGAAAGATAATATACAAGAAATATCAAAAAAATTCTAACATTTTAACTCTAACAACTTATTTAACTCAACTTTAATCAACCCTACTATCATTAATATTATCAATATAATTAAATAATATCAATCAGTCATTCATACATACCACATCAACCTTAATTCACTATTCATTTACTCACATTATTTTAATTAATCATCAATTCAAATCATCTCTCTCATACTTTTACATCAAATCAATTTTAATTATTTTATTTTGAGTATTATTTTAATATATCCACTAACAACTAACCATACTATTTTTTTCAAAATTAATCAAACCAAACCAAAAAATCTAATAAAATCAAAAAAATTTATATTCAAACATGCTCTAATTTTTTTTGCCCATAGGGTAATTATCTGATGGTTAATGTGACAGTTTTATCTAAGATGGTTGGTAATTGCATATTCTACAGAAAAAGGTTCGATTATTTTTTACCTAAAGATTATTTAGTTCTATTTAGCTCTTTTCAAATATAATATATTTGTGAAAGTAACAAATAAAGAAATTTGTACATACCATATTATAAAATAACTAGTGCGTGGTCCGTGCGATGCACGGAAAAACAATATTAAGATTGTAATAAATTAAATATAAAATAACATTAATCATGATTTATCCATTGTTTTTAAATTAAACCGTGTTAGACACAGTCCGACTGGATGGACTGAGAACCGGTTTATAACCAGTCTAGTTTGCTTGAATAAAATATTTGCTCCCAAATCCGTCAACACCAGTCGGTTGGACTGGTAGGATCGATACGATTTTCTAAATAAATTTTGTTATATTTAAAATTATTTTAAATAAAACTACATATTTAAATAAAATAGAGATTTATAAATTATTTATCAATTTGTTTAAACACTTGAATTTATAAATTATTTAGATATCTAAGTAACATATTTTATTTAAATTTATTACAAAAGATACTATATATCTATATATATATACATCTTTTAAATTGTTTATAAATTAAAATCTAAACAAACCACAAATGATTTAATAAAATAGCTTGATTGTTTGAAAACCTTATATTTAATATACATTAATAAATATTATAATAAAATATTATATAATTCACATAAATATTAATAAAATGATATATAAATATTCATAAATCATTAAACATGTTTTCATAAAAGTATTGTTAATACGATTATTTGAAGTTTTGACTACATCACATTCACGTAATTTTTAGGTTCAATAATCGATTTGGTGTGGTCGAACTGATACATAACTTAGTCACTTGGGACCAACCAAGTTGTGTTAAGTTTTTTGACTATTTTAAATATCACATAAAAGTAATTCAATCAACCTGGGCAGTACCCTAATTCAATCACCCGATTGATCCGAAAAATTTTTCTTATTTTCTTTAAATATATTTAATTTTATGAAATAAAAATATATTGTGATTCATATAATAAATGTCTACACCAAATGATAGTATATTAAGATTATAAATTATATATCTAAAGATGAATTAATTATTTTTACTTTATGCATATTATAAAAAATAAGCATAGTAATTTTTAAAAAATTAAGATTAATTGATTGATTATGCAATTTAAAGAATATTTTTAGCGTTCATTTTTTTTAAAAGGTACTAATATAAAGACCGAGATTCTAAAACTTTTGTTATATTTTGAATTAAGATTTTATAAATATAGAGACCGAGATTTTAATATTGTTCGTTGTTTCTAAGAAAAAATAAAAATAAAAACATACACACTTAATAAATATTAGTCGGATTTTTTAAATAATAAAATGAATTAAAGCTCGAAATTTAAGGTAACATTTAACGCTGTATGATTTTTAAAGAAAAATAATAAAACTTACTATTTATAGGCTGCATTAAATTCTGACTATTTTTTTTGTTATTATTTTTAATAAATGTTAATTTTTATTATATAT